ATCAAAAAAATAAATTTGGGTTGTTCTTAAAAATCTTTATGGAGGAACAAAGTAAGCACAAGACAAGAAGCTAACCATTACACTGAATGAGTTCAACAACTTTAAGGCTCTTCCTGGTGAAATTCTTAATGATTCCTTCAAAATATTTAACCTCATCGTCACCAACATCTCAAATACAGGCATCACTTGAAGTGATCATGAAACAAAGGTGTAGTTCCTGAATGGTTTAGGAAAGCAATGGACCATGGTGAAGATGATAGTTTAAGGTGACATCAAAATCAAAACTCTGCCGTTATACAAACTCTATGGTGAACTACAAGCTCAAGAGTCTACGATGATTAAATATTGCATGGATCTAGGTGGACCGCTCGCCTTAGTCGCCCATTCACCGCAGCCTACCAACCGATCTCCTCAGTATCATCATGTATCATAGAGTCATCATATCCAACCTCATATAACAACACATTGCAGTCATATAAACCAGAGACACAACCTGGTGATGAAGAAGCCTTTCAACACACATTAGCTTTTGTTAGCCAACAGTTTAACTGTAGCACTCGGTTTCGGATTTGCTTATTTATTCGGGGATGCAGCCCAATCTTCAATGGCCATGAGGCTTAGGGCCTTGGGGAAGGAAGAATTTGGCCCTTCTCAGGTGTAGGTGTTATGGTTTAAGTGATGAGGAAAATCAAGATTCTCAAAACCTAGAGGTAGTTGTAAGTATACCTCTTATTTCAATTCACCATTGGGGAAAGCACTTTTTACATCCATTTGATGTACTTTGACATTCTTATATTCCACATACGCCAGGAAAATACGTATGACCTCTAGCCTTGCAACTGGAGTGAATGTTTCGTCATAGTTAATTCCTTCTGATTGAATGTAACTTTTAGCTACAAGTCGGGCTTTGTTTCTGATTAGAACACCTGAATCATCCAATTTGTTGCAAAATACCCAACGAGTTCCAACTACGGTATGTCCCTTTGGTTTGGGGACCGATTTCCATACCTTGTTTGTTTCAAATTCCGCAAGCTCTTCTTGCATCGCAACAATCCAATCAAGATCAAGGAGCGCATATTTTATGGTTTTAGGCTCCGTAAAGGATATGAAAGTTGCATAATGACAATTTTTAGTTAAATCGCCAGAAGAAGGAGTGCATATACCTGCAAAATAATTCTAATTATTTGATCGGGCAGATGATTTTTTTGTCTAAATGTGTATACGTGATTGATGATGTTCGAAAGTTGCATTGGACGAAATATTTTCAACTTCAGGAGGTGTTTCTCTTTGAACATCTTGAATATGTTCCCCCTCGATTTGAGAAAATATTGCAGATAGGTCTTGTCACACCCCCAAACCAGAACGACGGAAACGTTTAGGGGCGGAGGACGTCATGTCAAGTATCATAACAATTGAATAGTAAGGAAAGTACACACCACCATAATATAAATATATTTGAAAAGTTTACATGATTGTATGTGTTACATGTTTGCAAAAGAAATCAAATACAATATGGTGACCCAAAATGTGTTACTAACGCCAACGCGTTAGTCTTCAAAAGTAGTTGCTACCTGGTTTAGCGGTTTCCTGAGAATACAAGTTATTTCAAAGAAAAAGTGTCAACATTTAAGTTGGTGAGTTAATAAGTAGTGTTTTGAGGAAATGTATGCCATTCGAAAGTGCGTGTGTGTTTTCCCAAGAAAATCCGATATTTTCTTATAAAAATATGAAATGCATGAGAATATTTGTTGTATAAATTGTATGTATTTAAACCAGGAAAATCCTTTATTTTCCTAAAAGTGAAATGCGGTCTCAAATGACCAAGACCGTAACCTGTAAGCAATTATGACATGCTAAAAAGAAGGTGTATAGTTTTATTGTTAAGTAAAACTAGTTGTGGAAGTGTTTATCATGAATTTTTGATTATGCTGATAATACCCTAGAATATAGTTATTACATCCCTTAAGCATGATTGAGTTATGTACTACTACGTGCTTGAGTCATTGTTTCCGCGTGTTGTGAGTTCCTCATAACCATACTAGACGCAGTACCTATGTTGACATTTGTCACCCCTAATGACGGACTATAGCTAACAGTCAGGGTGCGGAGTTGTCAGCCCCGTATAGATCTATACACACTTGTCACGCTCTCCCTCCAAGAGACTCTGGTTATAGGTGGGGACTTTCGTTTGGTACAAATAAAGTCATATGACACCACATGATTGCTAACAACGAGTTCACGAGTAATATGATGAAACATCGTTTGTATGAAATGATTTCCTTTTTCTACTGTGTTACAAAGACGTGATGATAAGTTAAGTTTTCTTGTAAAAGCATCATGTTATAGTTGAAATGGTTACCCTTGATATGATGTAGTATGCAAACGTATAACTAAAACATATTTTATTTATAAAACATATTGTATCCCAAGAGAGTAAGTTGTGTTGTAGGGTGTTTTGCATGATAATAACTTCATAAGATAATTAAAATAATAGTATGAAAAGTATAGCAAAAGATCGATGTCTCACACGATTTTAGTCGTGTGTTTACTTGTATTCCCCCCCTTTAAAAGCATATAAAAGTATTTATAAAACATTTAAAAGTGTAGTTTATAGGGGTATGAACTCACTTGATTGATTGAAGAAAGCGTGACGAAAACCGAGCAGAACTTCTACTCGAGAAAGCGGATCCCTCGAGGATCTCGGGAAATCTCGGGAGTCTCGGGAGTGTAAAACTTTCTTCCCACCTTGGATATGAAAACCGGGCCTTTGGGATGACTCCGAGGGTTGAAACGCAGAGCTTCGGCGCGAGAAAGGAAGGAAATTAGCAAATTTGGCCGGCACCCTCGCATCTCTATTTATAGGGGTCTGAGAGGTTGCGTTACGCGGGGCGTACTAGAGTACGCGCTGCGTACTCATGCGTCATGCATGAGCGCATCCTCGGTCGAAACATTGGAGCGACGTGGACGAACCGGAGCCTAGCATCCGAGTACGCTGGGCGTACGAGGGATCGGACCGCTGACTCGTACTTCGGATAATACCGGGTTTTAATTAAATTTATATTTTAATTAATTAGCAAACTTCAAAAATTCATATCTTTCTCATACGAACTCCGTTTTCGACGTTCTTTATATCCACGCGAAGGTGAGACTACGATCTACAACTTTTGTTTAGACTCCGTCGGTTAGTTTTGATTTTATTTTTAATATTATATTTTTAATAGGTCGGGACAGGAAAAGTCCGTTAAAGTTCCATAACTTCTTCATCCGACGTCCGTTTTTGTCAGACTTTTTACCGTTGCGCTAGTATTGTTGAGCCCTTCGATTCTCATTTAGATTGTGTCGGCCAAAAGTCTCTCGATCTCTATTTCGAGTTTTTAGCTGTCTACTACTATATCTGTAACTTAGAAAAATCACAACTTCCTCATACGAAGTCAGATTTGGACGTTCTTTTTATGTACGTTTACGTTTTGATGATATCTAAAACTTTCATTTAGATACCTAAGGCCAAAAACTATTGTATTGAAACTTCACATTTTACGTCTATCAGTATTGCCGGTTTTGCCGAGAATCTTCGGTTGGTCATAACTTCTTCGTTATAACTCGGATTTTAGGGTTCTTTATATGTATGATTCCTACTACTTTATTTAACCCAAATAAGATTTTTGGAAAGTTAAATTTTGATCTAAATTTGACTTGCGTTCCATCATATTGCCTCGAAATATCGGGTTGTCACTATACCCTCATAGGCTCCTCCATTCAGGGTAAAGACTCAACTACGATTTCCTACTTGGAACTTTTCCATAGGCTCTTTCATGGTATTTCCTTGCCAAGTCGGGGCCAAAACCCTAAGTCTTATAGACAAGTGCCAAGAGCTACCTTTTGGTCTTCCATGCAAGCATCATAAAGACAATGGTGGGTTTCTTTTTGGAGTGTGTAGATGGTTTCTCACGAGAGAGAGAGAGAGAGAGAGAGAGAGAGAGAGAGAGAGAGAGAGAGAGAGAGAGAGAGATGAGACCTTTTATATATTAAATAATTATATTTAATTAAAAATAAATAAATAAGAGAAAATATCATAAATGGTCCCTATGATAGTGAAATAACGAAAATACTCTTCAGTTAACGGACAAAATCAACGGAATTAGCAATAATGACCAATTGTCAAAAAATTTAAAAGCACAAAGACCACCTATGATGTTCTTAAACCACATGGACTAATATGAAGAAACAACAGAGATTATTTATGATGTTTTTTTTTTTTTTTTTTTTTTTTTTCTATTTTCAATAACTTATTTATTTTTGAACAACTAATACATGTCACTAAATCCTATTAGTAAACGATTAAGTTTGTCTAGTAGAAGACTTGAATGTTCAACCCTCAAGATAATGAACATTTTTACAACGTCTTAATAGTTAATACCACTAGAATAAAAATATTTTGGTTTCAACGACTTTCTAAATATTAACATGAATTTTGATTGCAACCATCGTTACTATGATTTTAACCTAATCTCGTGCGGGTATCCAGCTGTTATTTATAAACGTGATATTTAAAATAAGAATAATTTGTATGACTAGAACCTAATTCCATGCAGCAACCAATTAATGATTTACAACGAGTAATTTAATATATGAATTTATTAGCATAGATGTGAACGGACATAATAATTATATATGAAAAAAAGTTAATTGCATCATAACATTTAATTAATCGTATATTACTCCATCGTTTTATTTTTGGATTTATCCAACAAAAATACAGTATTATTGTTATATTTGACTCCATTTTATTTACTTGTAATTAAATAGACTATGATTAAAAAAAAGAAAAAAACCCTTTATGTGAAGGGTAGTTTGGGAAAGTTTAATTGAGCAGTAAAACGACACGTTTTGAGGCGGCAAAGGGTGCATTTGGTTGAACAAACCTAACCACCACTTTCCTTCATGGTTCACACCCATTTTGCCTTTTCTTCTTTCTTTTATTTTTTAATTAAAAATGCAAAAATAAATTCTGAACTAACCAAATATAAATTATATTTCCTCCCTTCTTTTTCGGTTTTCTAAAGCCATAACTCTCCTTCTGGATTTCATCGACTGTTCATCTCTCTCATAATCTTTCTCTCTCTAAGACGGCCGGAAACCGCTCGGTTGTCAGTTGTGACCGGTGAGCCGCTTTATTGTCCGTATTGACTTCCGGAGTTCTTTCCGGAGGAGTCGTCTTCAATTAGTGGGCTTACAGAAACGGAGACGAACTATTCTCTGCTATCATTGTGCGGTTCTCTGCGGTTAAGAAGTTTAACCGGTTAATTCTTCCGATCTCTTCGTCCGGTAGCTGTTTTGAGGGAATGTACCGGAGAAAACGACTGAGATCGTGATCTAGGGTTGAGATTTGTTGTTGCTGCGTTTGTTATGTTTCTTTCCTTCTTCTTCTATCTCGATTGTATGGTTTGGTGAAGTAAAGAGAAGACGGAGGGTTTCGGCGATAAACTTTGGAATGAGATGGTAAATCACGCCATTATTTATTTTTTTTTTTTTCTGAATATATATTTTAAAAAAATGTGTATTTCTTTTTTGTTTTTATTTTTGGGAGAACATCGAGTCTCCTAAATCTCTAGCATTATCTTAATTTTTTGTGAATATTTTTTATACTTTGGTATCCAGATTTCCTCAAAATATTTGTTTATAGCTATCTGTTCTTGAAGTTAACGGAATTGAAAAAAAGTTATTTCAATTAGGACTTGGTCTTTTACCTCTGTAATTTGGAAGTTTAATTTTAAAAACTGTAATATTCATGGATGGTTATAATATCTGTTGTTATATCAAGGTTCTATAAATTTCTCTCTTTATTTCCTTGATCGTTCCTCTCATGGGTGATACTGTTCACTTTCTTCTCGTCTTGCATGATTTCCGTTAAGAATTTGTTGGGACTCTTTGATGTGGTTGCTTGACATTTAATTGGTTGAATTTCTTTGTTCTTGTTGAACTATATAAAGAGATTCTTCAATATCTTTTACTAAACACTCGAGTTTTATGGAAACAAATTGAAAGAGCGATGTAGACTTTCCTTTTTTCTTCTTTTAATGAACATCTATGGTCATTTATAGGGGAATCATATGGAAGAACATAGTACATATAGGCCGATTCTATATTGAAGTCGTAATAAAGTGCCTCTAGAACGTGGATACATTAGACATTGGATGCACGCATCTCAATAACTATATCTTTTGGTGGGTTTTAAAGTCTGGTTGAGTTTGCAGAACAATTTATTATTGTTTTTCCATATATGTAATTAGTTTCACTGTTTTCAGCCTTCACTGACAAGTTATTATACTGAAGGAGATATTCAATTCAATCTAATTGCTTGATAGTCATAGATTATAGGTGACCTGTGAATTAACATTGTAATCTTTTTTCAGGGGGAAGGGAGGGTTTGTTTCTCCAGAGAAGCCAAGTTGGAATTTTTGAAGCAGAAGAGGCTTCAACGAATGCAAACAGGCACATTACATAATGACACTGCATATGTGACTAATCTAATGTCTAGAAGCAGTGGAGATGCATTAAGAGATCCTGCATCCTGTGGTGTGAGATCATTCAGAAATCCAGATGTATATGCAAAATCTGGTAGTGGTCTGAATGAGAGAGACACCATGTCAAAGCAAAAGATTGACAAATTTGCCACAACTGATCTTGATTGGACTGATAACATGCCAGAATGTCCAGTATATTTCCCAAGTAAGGAAGAGTTTGAAGACCCTTTGGCTTTTCTCCAAAAAATTGCCCCTGAAGCTTCAAAATATGGTAATTAACTTGTCATTGTAAGTTTATTAACATGAAAAGGTGTGTAAATCCATTTCCATGAAATCTTATCACAACAACATTTCTCAGGTATATGCAAGATTGTTTCCCCTTTGAGTGCCTCTGTTCCAGCTGGCATGGTTTTAATGAAAGAGAAAGCTGGTTTTAGGTTTACTACAAGGGTGCAGCCTCTTCGTCTTGCTGAGTGGAATACTGATGATAAAGTCACATTTTTCTTGAGTGGAAGGTGTGTTTCTTTGTATATATTTGGATTTTACTTTTTTTGTTTTATTATTATATCATGTTTTGAGTATCTTTTTTATTCATCAGAAACTATACATTCCGTGATTTTGAGAAAATGGCAAACAAGGTTTTTACACGTAGATATTACAGTGCTGGATGTCTTCCAACTACATATTTAGAAAAAGAATTTTGGCAAGAAATAGCTTCTGGGAAAACCGAAAGTGTTGAGTATGCATGTGATGTTGATGGAAGTGCCTTTTCATCTTCTCCCTCTGATCAACTCGGAAACAGCAAATGGAATTTGAAGGTATTCTATTCTATTCTATTCATTATTTTTTCTTTTTTTAATATCTCTACACGTTCCATTTTCATCATCACTCTCTTTTCCAATTTCAGAAAGTCGCTCGATTGTCCAGATCCATCTTGCGTCTTCTAGAAACAACAATTCCGGTATTTAGATACTCTAAATTTGATTATTATTTTAATCACTTACCTTTTTTTTTTTTGTTCTAAGCAAAAATTTTATGATGTACAGGGGGTTACCGAACCAATGCTGTACATAGGGATGCTATTCAGTATGTTTGCTTGGCATGTAGAAGATCATTACTTATACAGGTAACTACTTTGTTTTTTTTTTTTGGTTATAATTAATACATTGAAGTTTATGGTTATTAATTTTGTTTTGTTCTTTTACAGCATTAATTACCATCATTGCGGAGCTGCAAAAACATGGTACGGTGTACCTGGTCACGCAGCAGTAGACTTTGAGAAAATCGTTCGTGAAAAGGTGTACACTCATGACATTTTATCAAATGAAGGAGAAGATGGTGCTTTTGATGTTCTTTTAGGAAAAACAACCTTGTTTCCTCCTAATATTTTGTCACAACATGGTGTTCCAGTTTACAAAGCTGTTCAAAAGCCCGGTGAATACGTCATCACCTTCCCCCGAGCATATCACGCAGGATTTAGTCATGGTAAAATATCACTCTTCCTTCTTTCCATTCACAAAAATCCCATGACCTTTTTTATTACTTAATTAATATTTAATCGTAATATCTATTTAGGTTTTAATTGTGGTGAGGCTGTGAATTTTGCAATTGGCGATTGGTTCCAGTTAGGGTCGATAGCTAGCCGTCGTTATGCGCTTCTTAATCGTACACCTCTCCTTCCTCATGAAGAACTTTTATGCAAAGAAGCCATGCTTATTTCATCATCATCATCATCATCATCATCAGCTATGAGCCATGAAGATTTAGCATCTCAACTTAGTGTCAAGGCCTCATTTGTGAATCTAATAAGCTTCCAACATCGCGCGCGTTGGTGTCTATCCAAATCCAGGGACTGTATGGGAATTTCACAACATTCTCATGGAACCATCCTTTGCAGTGTTTGTAAACGTGACTGTTACGTTGCGTATATCAACTGTAGCTGCTATTTACACCCCGTCTGCCTTCGCCATGGTAATTAAAATTCAAATCTTTTCTTTTTTTAATTATAAATAATTCAATATAGTTTTTATGTTAACTTATTTGGTTACATTTGGTTCAGAGTTTAAGCCGCTTGAGTTGGCTTGTGGAACGACCTTTACACTCTCTGTAAGGGACGAAGTATTGGAAATGGAGAAAGTTTCGAGAATGTTGGAAGAGGATAAACATATTGTAAATGAAGCTGAACTTCAATTCAAATACGCAAGTGACAAACTTTTGCTATCTAAATTGTATCAAATAACTGAAGACGAATCATACATTCCATATTGCAAGATTGATTTTGTTCCTCAACCCCCAAGAGAAAATTTACACGCGGATAATAATACGAAAAGCGCGTGTCATTACAGTGACAGCAGCGACTCTGACTCGGAGATATATAGATTCAAACGCCGGTCATCTCTAAAGCCCAAACAGAGACCAATGAATTTTGCATCTTCAAAATCAGAACATCAGGTAGAGGTACATTCATTTTGTGTTTGATAAAAAAAAAACTATTGGTTGTTATTTTTGCTCATGCTTTTAAATTTTATTTCCAGGGGTTAAAGCGGTTGAAGAAGGCAGAGCCTGAAAGATTGAATGTGATCTCCATCAAGTACAAGAAAACGGGAGATGAAGAAAGTAGTGTGAGTGTGGGTAAGCGGAGAGATGAGAAAAGGGTGTTGGAGAGTTGTCCGAAGCGAATCAAAGTAAGAGGACCTTCGATAGGTTTAGAAACAAAACAGATTCATTAATTGGCTAACCAAAATACATCAGCAGCAGTAGTCAGTTTTAGGTTTTATATGGGGGGAGCAGAGTAAGTAGAGCATATGACAAAAATTAACAAAAGTTGGTAGTAGATGAAAAAACACAAATTACTACGATTCTTTGTGCAGATGCCGCTTCTAATTGGGCTGGATTTGCACTTCTTTTTAGCTACTGTTAGTGGTTTCTTTTCATGTACATTTATTTTCATGTTTAACACTCAACGAGGTTAAAATGGTAATTCATATAATACCATCGAAACCTCTTTGTTTACTTCTTCTCATTTAATGTGAAAAATCTAATCTTTTCTTCTTTATTTGGTAATAACACTTACTGTTTCACCGAATCTTTTTGATCCTTTGGATTCAAGGAAAGGATTTCCTGGTTATTTGGCTTAGAAGGTAAGACAAAGAAGGATATATATATCAAGTAACGAGTTGCTGTCTTTTTGGTAGTTGGTACTCTCAACTTCATGAATGTGACAATGTCTTTTTTGCATAACTATTTTATGAATATAATAATATAATATGTTAATTATAAATCACCAAAAGTTTAGTTTTCCTCTTTAAACTAAAACCCGTTGATTACTTTCTAATCATGGATTGGCTGTGTTGGATTATAAAAACTTAGTTTGGTTTTAAAACATTTTCAGAATTGTAAAAAAGGATATATGTATATAAATGAATAATCCAAGTTAATAAAGTTGTATATATTTAAGTAATTTTGGACATAAAGATTTGGTTAAATGCATGGATAATTACATAATTGATCATCAGAAATGTGCATTTATATTTGTAACCAAGTTTTGAGTCATTTGCAAAGTAGTTCATTTTGAACTAACAATATATATATATACACACACACACACAAACTAGCTGTTTGCCCGCGCAAAGCGGCGCCGACGAATAGTTTTTTTCAAGCAATTCGTTCCATTGGGAGACATGTTATATTTCTAAGAACAATTGCACAATTATCGATCGGTTTCACAAAAATAAAAAGTGCAATGCCAAAACCAAAAAATATTGTGGTGGTGGATTTCATGTAGGAAACGGAGATGAATATTTGAATTAGTCTCCAGTTAACTATATTTTATGCAAAAAATTAGGGGACTCCAATTTGAATGAACTTTTAAATTTCAAACGATTTGTCGAAAAGAAATGTTTCAGATTTTGAATGCACCAGATACCAGAGAAGAGATATTTTAGGAGTACAAGTTTGGTCAAAATTGATGAAAATACTAATTCAATACCTAAAAATAAGGAAATACTAATTTAAATGTGTTTTTAATACTTGTATCCCTATTATTATCATTTGTAAGATATATATTATAATATTATTATATTAATAGTTGGTTATACTTTAAGCTTAAAGACTTGAACGTTTTACAAAAATATTATATTGATTCTATTTATAGAAATATTGATTCTATTTATGATTATTTTGGAAAACAAAAAAACCCTAAAAATCAGAAAAATACATAAAAAAAAATACTTAGAGATTACAAAACTTTTTTTATTTTATTTTTTTATAAAAAAATCGCAGATTTTTTAATAAATTCGCTAAAAAAAATCAAATTTGAAAAAAAAATTAAAAATTTATTTTTCAAAAAAAGAATCAATGAATTTATTTTAAAACATGCATTTTTCATAAAAAAATTTAAAAAGAAGTTTTGTGATCAGGAACCAATGAACCTATTAAGATGGTTGGATCAAAAAATTAACAACCATTGGATTTGAGATGTAACAGTATAAAAAAAACAATAGTGTGCAACTTATTATAGCCAAACACGTAACTTGAGGGGGCATTTTTGTTAACCTAAAACTTATTAACTCTCAATATTAATTAATGACGATACTTCATCAGTTTCACATATCAGTGAAATCATTTTACTCTCTAATTGAAAGAGATCTTTTACTTCACCAACGAAAATCGATTTCAAACGAATCTCCGACGACGATTCAGTTAATATCCACAGTGAATCATCCTGAAAAGTTCGTCAAAATGAATCTAGAAGGTATATTTGACTGCTATTCATTTCCGATTATCTCATTTAATGCATTTTCAACATTATATTTTTTCGATTGATAAATTTCAAAACGACAAATCTAAACTATCTGTTACATTATGTATTCGATGAATCTGTGAATAAACTATTTTACTAACAAAATCGTTTTAAACTGATTTGAAACTCTCGGATGATGAACTTTTAATAATGTGTATACATAATGAAAACCTAATGATTTAAATTTCTTGAAATCGATACAGAAATCATGAATATCTATATTACAAACTGAAATTTCTTAAAACTTTATGAATCTAACTCGAATCTGAGTTTATTAAGTAAATCAAAACCCTAATTTCATGAACTTTTGAGAATTTGTATAATTACCAAAAACCTAATGATATAAATTTCTTCAAATCGATTCAGAAATCATGAATATCTAAATTACAAACCGTAATTTCCTAAAAAACTTGTGAATCTAAGTGGTTTCTGAGTTTATTCTGGAAAAGAACCACAGTGTCAAGCAGCCACTTCAAAATTAGCTGTCTCGTTTTCACTATATTGAGCTTTACATTGTCATGAATAATGGAATTGCGGTCTTTCCAAACTTCCCGTAGGATAAATAAAGCAACAGAATTGCGTAAAAAAGAATACTGGGAGCAAATAGTATCAGTCCACCAAGACTCAAGACGCTGCTCGAGAGACTGAGCTTGGGATATTGAGATGTTATGAAAAACTAATGTCACATTTTGAATTCATCGTGTGTTTTGTGATTTACATTATTTGACAATTCACAAAGTGAATCATGATTATATATCAATTTAACATATCATTTATTCAAATTGTGAACTTACAGGGTGATTTATCATTTACATTTGATTTTTTCATCTTGTGAAATTCACATTGTGCATCTATGTTTAATTGATATTGTATCTTTTATTGTGCTTCTCATTGTAAATTTATAAAGAGTTGCATTGGTAATGTTTTGATTCAAACTGAATTCACAATGTGAATAAATATTAAGTTAAATTCATTTGTAATCTTGATTCACATTGTGAAATATATGAATAAACCATAACTTTCATACCATGAAATTGATGTTTGAATTAATTTGTTAATCAAAACACGAAATGAAGGAAAGATCAATGAAAAAAGGGATAATAAGAAAAGAATGAAATTGACAAGAAATCTAAAAGATATTCTACCTTCAACTACAAGTGAAAAAATTGAAGATATTCAAGATAAAAAAAAAGGTTAGAACATTTGCATTCAGATTAAAATAATTAATTATCTAATCATATACTACACACTTATTAAAAAAAGTAATTCACAACGTGAATCTTGGATGTATGTTTCACATTCATCTTTTTTTTTTTTTTTTTTTTTTTTTTTTCAAGTTGATCAACACTTTTGTTTGTATTCACTATGCACAAAATAATTTTAAAAATTCACCATGTGTATGTGTACATCACTTGGTGAACCTCAAACTTTTTTGATGTTAAATGCATAAATTCACAATGTGAATCTTGGATGTATGTCTCACATTCACACAGATTCACAATGTAAATCTGTTATTTTTTTTTGCAAGTTGATCAACACTTTTGTTTATATTCACTATGCACAAAGTAGTTGTAAAAATTCACCATGTGTATGTGTACATCACTTGGTGAACCTCAAACTCTTTTTCTGTTAAATACATAAATTCACAATGTGAATCTTGGATGTATGTCTCACATTCACAATGTGAATCTCTTAATTTTTTTTTGGTAAGTTGATCAACACTTTTGTTTGTATTCACTATACACAAAATAATTTTAAAAATTCACCATGTGTATGTGTACATCACTTGGTGAATCTCAAACTCTTTTGCTGTTAAATGCATAAATTCACAATGTGAATCTTGGATATAGCTCATAGCCTAACAGATTCGCAATGTGAATTTCTAAAAAGTTTTTGCAATTTGATCATCACATGTTCAGTTTTATATTGTTTGATATGTATTTCATAATACTACTTATATTTTTGACATTGATACTAAAAATTTCACATTGTGTAATTGAAGGTTCAAAAAAATATACCAAAAACACAGCAAGGAGAATCATGGTGGAAATAGTTAATAAATTAAGAAAAAATCAAGATGAAAAGACTATTGATGAAATGTTGAAAAAGAAAAAAGTTTAGAAGGTGATGAGATTCAAAAAAAAAGCAAACAAAAAAATTGAAGAAGCAAGATGAATCTGTTTTGAAGACACTTGAAAAGAAAACAACACAAAGTTAGTATTTATAAAATTATAATTTAATTTAATATATAAATTCAGTTATCTTTAATTTTTTTTAATGAACAGAAATCAGACAGAGTCCAAGATTACAAAAAATAAAAACGAAAAAGTCGATGAAGCAAGACAAATCTGTTTTCAAGACACCTGAAAAGAAAACAACTCAATGTTAGTATTTATAAAATTATAATTGAATTTGATATTATAAAATTAATTCTTATTAATTTTGTTAAAACATGAACATAAATCAAACAGAGTCCAAGACTTAAAATGATTGAATACAAAAAATCTGTGACTCCTATTAAAGTTGATGATAGCCTTGTAAAGAAAGAATCTGATGAAAAAGTAACAGGTTTGTTTATTACTATTCACATGTTTAATTTACAAAGTTATAAACAAATTCACATGTTTATTTTATGTATTATATTATATTTTGCAAAACAAATTCACATGTGAATTTCTTGTATTGTTAGTTATTTTATAGTATATATGTTATATTATGAGAAGCTTATGAAAATTATTGACTAACAGGAAAAAGAAAAAGAAAAACAAAGACTCTAGAAGTAGTCAAAGAAAAAAAAGGCAAAAGTGCCAATAAATCCAAATGAGAGAGTATCTTTGAGAACAAGAATTAGCTCAAAGAAGTTTTATGATATTGTTAAATCTTTAAACAAAGAACAGAAAAAAGTTGTTAGAGAAATGAGATTGAGATCTTTGCTGAGAATTGCAACCAATGGAATTTTGGGAAATTGGCATGTTTTATTGTGAATTCATTCAATCCATCGGATATGAAAATCCATCTACCTAATGTAAAGATAGACATAACACCAAAACTTATTCATGATTTGTTTGGAATTCCTCTAGGTGGAAATGATATATATAACACTGATCAATGTGAAGGAAAAAAACTAATGGATTGAAAGCAACAATACAATTTCAAGGCTATGAGACCACCAGATGTTGAAGAGAAAATTAAAGAATCATCAGATTCAGAGATTATTTTTAGAACAAACTTTTTATTACTGTTTGTTAATACCATCTGTGAACAGAATAAGCCTGGAACTTGTAAGACAACAGTATTGCCACATTTGTTAGGCAAAACACCTATGAGAGAAATTGACTGGTGTGGTTTTATAACCACTTGCTTGAAAATGTCAAAGATGATGTGGGATGAAACCGATAAGGAAACTACTATTGTGGGCCACTTCTTGTATTATTGGTAAGGAAAATTCTTATAATTAAAACTTTTATTTATATTATTATAAGAAAAATAATTAATCATAATTTTGTTTACATAAACAACTAGCTTATTTGGAGTTTATGAGAAATGACAAATACATGTACTACATTTTTTGGGATTATGAAATGATGGTGAAAAGGGAAAAAGTTGAGTTAAAAAGTGGTGACTTTGGAACTTTGGAATGGAATGATGATGTTATAGAGAATGATCAAGAATCCGACACCGATGAAAATGAAGATATGAAACTCGATGTAAGTTAATAATCTATATAATTAAAAAAAAAATGAAGTTATACTACATATATATGTTATAAAATTGTAGTTAAGATGAAATTCATAAAATGATTCACATTGTGAATATAAAAGTGTATTTTATTACTTTATCTATAATAAATTCACCAAGTAAATATGTAATTTATTAAAATTCATTAAAAATGTGATACCTCATCAATACATTCATATTATGAAACTGTAATTTATTATAGAAAAAAGTTAAAAAAAAATCATTTTTATTGATATTTTTATCTCATTTCGCAGGAATTGGTATTCAAAGCGAAAAAAATTACAAAAACCTAGTGAATGATAAAATGAAGTTTGGAAAGTTAATTGAGTTTTCAACAACAAAATTCACAGAAAGCGATGAGTTGAAAGATATGAAGAAAGTCTTTGAACAAGAATTCATTTATAAAACTCAAAATAAAGATGATGAAAAAAGTGATAGGAATGAAGATAAAGAAAAAAGCGACGAGAATTTGAATGAACATGAAATAAAGAATCAACCAATCATGGTAACACCAAGAAATTTGTACAGTGATCCAATAGTGCATGAGATTGCTGATTCTATTCAATGTATTTTAAATTTTGATGATTATGATCATGTTGAAAATGTAAAAAGTTTTAGAGAACAAAAAAATAAAAAACACAATAATAGATGATAAAAAAAAAAAGAAAAAAAATACTAGAAAATCATAAATGCCTAGTTTTTCACTTGGACTTGGTCTTGGTCTAACACATGAGTTTCAGGAAGGAGATGAAAACAGTGAAGATGAACACATGAAGAAAGAAAAAAAAGATGAAAAACTTGATGAAGGAGAAAGTTTTGATTCAGAAGAAACAAAATGTAACAATAATATCTTGGGAATTGAAGATGATGCAGACAAAAAAAGAGAAGTAGGAAAAAGATAAAAAAAAACATCATTGAAGCTATCTTCTCCTTATTGTAACACTCATTATAATTCAAGCCAATTTAAACTTTTAAAATGTTTCAAATCCATTAAACATAACAACTTGTTTTCATAATGTATTATATCAGAGTATCCCAGAAACAAATTCATAAAAAGTGAGGAGTTGTATGATCACGCCTTAGCCTTGCCCCAATCTCCTGAAGCACCTGAAACAATAAACTAAAACTGTAAGCTCGAAATCTTAGTGAGTTCCCCCAAAATACTCATACACATACAGTCCACATAATCATGTCAACAACATCATAACATAACAAATTGAAACAACATAAAATGGGTCCACAAATTTATAGACTGGATTACCCCCTGGGCCCACAGTGTGAGTCTGGATTGCTTCCGGCCCACAGCTCACACCTGACTTGCCATCGAGCCCACAATACGAGTCTCCCTTAGCCCGTAACTGAAATGCTCCCGGGTTTGTTGGATAATCGCACGAAGTAGTCTCACCTTAACCCATCTCACATAACATGTATCATAACTAATGCACATACAGATAATCATACAGTGTCACATGTAGTCCTACAGATCTACCCTACTAGCATATCAACTGGCATACATCACTAACTCAACTCAGCATATCAATAACTGCTAGGATATCAAACCCAGTGAGCCGGTCTTGGTGCTTTAGACCCCTTAGTATAGTGAGGATAACTCACCTTGTAAATGTTGGCTCGGTAACTAAACTCCAACTCTCAGATCACGACCGCAACTCCACCACCTATTATCATAATAGAACCATACTCGTAAGTTCTCAATCTTCCAAGGTACCCCATAAGTCAAATAGTCAACCCCTAGTCAAAGTCAAAGTCAACAGTCCATGTTGACCCTTACTCGTCGAGTACCCTCGGCTACTCGCCGAGTTCCTCGAGATACTCGTCCACTCGACGAGTCCCCGGAGTGACTTGTCGAGTTCCTATGGTTCGCGATCGAGACCCTAAGGCCACTCATCGGGTTTTCCTTCTTGTAACTCGACAGGTTCACACACATTCATTAATTTGGGGAAACATTAACCGACTCGCCGAGTTGTTCATCTAACTCGTCGAGTTCAATGCCTATCTTCATATGACTCACCTAGTCGACTATGCGACTCACCGAGTCCCTTCAGTTCTTTAACCATGCAGACAATTTTTAAGCTATGCCAAGGCCCCAAATTGCAGATCCAACTTCCTTAGGCATGCTTATCACATAAAGTTGCAAACTTTACATGCATGCAAGGCTTTAAGACCATAAAATGGCACAACTAAGCTTGCGATGAAGTCACATCCTTGAGAGAAAGCTCATACTAGGCAAAGCTGATGACTTTATGAATCTAGAAGCCAGGGGGAGTCCAGATCTGAAGTTACAACTTCAGATCTTGGCTTAAACACAAGAAACCCCTTCCTAAACTCATGCACAAAAGAGTTTATGAGAAAATGAGCCAAGGTAAAAACGATCTAATACCTTAAATAGAGCCCTTTCTGATGCAAAACTTGAAACCTACAATTCTTGCTTCAACTAGCTTGCTTCCCAAGTGATTTCTTCACCAAAAACTTCCCTCCAAGCTTAAATCTCGAAAGAACACACACACACACACACTCGAGTTAGGGCCTTTATGGACTCTCAATGGACTGTAGAGAGGCCAAAGGAGGCTTGTGTTTCTTTAAATAGGGTGCAAAACCCGGGATTAGGGTTTCATATGCCAACTCCTACTCTTCAAGTCCCTTCTTGGACTCGGTGAGTAGGCCACTAAATTCGTGAACCAACCTGCTGCTACTCGATGAATAGGGCAACCAAATCATCGAGTAGACCTTGGAAACAAAATAAATCTTATTTAAATCAATACCTGAGAATCGGGGAGTTAGAACTCTCTCCCAATTGAACTAGACTTCGCCCTCGATGTCCGGTACGATGAGCAATGCTGGGTAATGCTCCCGTATTTCTGCCTCCAGCTCCCACGTCCAATCAGATCCCTTCCGATGCTCTCACTGTACCTTTACCAAAGGTATCTCCTTATTCCACAAAAGTTTCATCTTCCTCTCAAGTATGTCCACATGCCTCTCCACGTAATTCAGGCACTCATCAACCTGAATATCATCCAATGGCACCACTGCCTCCTGATCCACAATGCACTTACGCAACTTTGAAACATGGAGAGTGTTGTGGATCTAACTAAGCTCCTCCAGAAGCTCTAACATGTATGCTACCTTGCCAACCATGGTGATGACCCTGAACGACCTAATGTACCGGGGACCCAATTTCCCCTGCTTCCTGAAGCGAATCACACCCTTCCAACGCGATACCTTCAGGAGTACCATATCATCCACCTGAAACTCTAACTCAGATCGGCGCCTATCGGCGTAACTCTTCTCCCGACTTTGAGAGGCCTGCAGTCGCTGCGTTATGTTGAATCTTCTCGGTAGTTTGCAGGACTACCTCCGTCCGCCCTATCACTCGGTATCCATCCTCACCCCAACAAATCGGGTTGCGACATCCGCGCCCATAAAGTAACTCAAACGGCAGGGCGCCAATACTAGAATGGTAGCTATTGCTGTACGCGACCTCTGCAAGAGGTAGGTGGGAATCCCAACTTCCACCGAAATCAATGGAACACACCCTCAATATGTCCTCGAGGGTCTGGATGGTCCGCTCACTCTGACCATCTGTTTGCGAATGAAACGATGTGCTAAAGTGCAAGCGTGTGCCCAGTTCCTCGTGGAACTTTTTCCAGAAATGGGAGGTGAATCTGACATCTCGGTATGAGACAATAGAGACCGGAATCCCATGGCAAGCAATGATCTCACGCATATATATGTCAGCCAACCTCTCGGCCGAAGAACTCTCCCGTATCGCCAAGAAATGAGCACTCTTGGTTAATCGATCCACGATGACGCATATAGCATCGAACCCTTTCGTCGTCCTTGGCAGTTTCGTGATGAACTCCATCGTGATATGTTCCCACTTCCACATGGGGATCTCCAGAGGCTGCATCTTACAATGCAGCCTCTGATGCTCGGCTTTGACCATCCTACAGGTCAAGCACCTCTCGACATACCAAGCGATTTCTCGCTTCATACATGGTCACCAGTAACTCAAACTCAGATCTCAGTACATCTTGGTAGCCCTCGAGTGTATGAAAAAATGAGACTTATGAGCCTCCTCCATCACTATCTGTCTAACCCCACCAATCATTGGAACCCAAACTTGACCACATCGGGTCAATAACCTCGACTATCTTGAACAAACTGAGCGCTTTCTCCCTTGATCCTTTCCACTTTCCAGTTCTCTGGTCGTATGCCATCGACCTGGGCATCTCTGATCAAACTCACCAACAGGGAATTCACCGCTATCCTCATACACTTTGATGGGGTGGAAGACCCAACTGACTTGCGGGTTAACGCATCTGCAACTACATTCGTTTACCAGGGTGGTAAAGGATCTCACAATCGTAGTCCTTGACTACATCTAACCACCTACGTTGTCTCATATTCAGGTACGGCTGATCCATGATGTGTCTCAAACTCTTGTGATCCGTGTGTATGGTACAACGGACCCCATATAGGTAATGTCTCCAAATCTTGAGAGCGAAAACCACCGATCCCAGTTATAGATCATGTGTAGGATATCTCATTTCATGCGGCTTCAAAAACACCACAAAATCCTCAACTCCCTTCGGGAGTGTCAAAACTGGAGCCTCACACAACCGATGATGGAGGATCTTAAACGCCCTCTGCTGCTCGGGGCCCCATCGGAAATCCACCCCCTTCCTTGTTAGGCGAGTGAGGGGTACTGCAATCTTGGAGAAGTGTCAAATAAATCTCCGATAATACCCCGCCAGTCCTAGAAAACTCCTTATGTCTGAAGGAGACCTCGACACCTCCCACTGCATAACTGCCTCAATCTTGTCTGGATTGAACAAAATCCCATCCTGGTTGACGAAGTGCCCAAGGAACTGGACATCTTGTAACCAAAACTAGCACTTCGAGAACTTGGCATACAACCATTCCCATCTCAGAACCTCCAACAGCTCCCTGAGGTGCTCCTCGTGCTGCTCTCGGGTCTTGGAATACACCAAGATATCATCTATGAACACGATGACCGAGAGATCAAGCATCGATCTGCAGACCCGATTCGTCAGGTCCATGAATACTGCTGGTGCGTTGGTAAGCCCAAACAGCATCACCACGAACTCGTAGTGCCCATAACGCGTCCGAAACGCGGTCTTCTCCACGTCTTCCTCTCTAACCCGGACCTGATGGTAACCCGATCTCAAGTCAATCTTGGAGAACCAAGATGCACCATGTAAGTAGTCGAATAGATCGTCTATCCTTGGGAGTGGATAACGGTTCTTCACCGTCAACTTGTTCAACTCCCTATAGTCAATGCATATCTGGTGCGATCCATCCTTCTTCCTGACGAAGAGGATCGGTGCTCCCCATGGAGAACTGCTAGGTCGAATGAACTGCTTGCCCAGCAGTTCCTGTAGCTGTGAAGACATCTCCTGCATATCGGGTGGCGCCAAACGGTACGACGCGTTGGCAATAGGAGCCGCACCCGGCACCAGGTCGATCCGAAACTCGACCTAACTCTCCGGAGGTATCCCTGGTAAGTCCTCCGGAAACACGTTTGCAAAATCCCTGACCAATGGAACCTCTGAAACTGAAGTCTGGTCTCCAACTTGCGTATCCACCATGTACGCTAAGTAACCTACACATCCGTGCTGAATATACTGCCGAGCTCTAGCGGCTGAACAAAACCCTGACCTCACTCTGGTGCCCTCGCTATATACAATCAGTTCTCCCCCACTTGGGGTTAGAACTACCACTCTCTGGCCCTCACAATCTATCATGGCACCAAAACGACTAAGCCAATCCATACCCACAATCACGCATACTTCCCCTTTGGTAATCGGAATCAAATCTATCGGAAGACCACTCCGAAGATCTCCAATTGACATCCTTGGTAGAC